CTCCAGCTGAGGTTCCCAGGGGCTTTCCTGGGTTATCCACCCCTTTCCCTGGCCCCTGAGTAAACAGCACAGCTGGATGCACACCTGGCCTATCAGGGACTGTCGTCTCCCATGCCAGCTGTGTAGGGCTGGGCTGGCATCCAGTGCTTCCTCCTAGCTTGGAAGTGTCCCATGGACCACCAGTTCAACAATTCTAATTCCTTTCCTGTCCAGTCATACTAGCAGTAAAAATCGTCACTACAAGGTCTGCTTTGCTGTTTTTTTGGGTTTTTTTTCCCTCCATATTTTTTTACAAGGATTTCAAAATTGTGACAAATATTAAGTGATTAATTGTTTATTACCAAATGATTTGGTAACTTCCACATTGTCTTTGATCACTTAATTAGGCTGAGTATTTCACATTTTGGAGAAAAATTAATGAAACTTATTTGTATTTGTATTAAAAATTGGATGTAGTACAAGACTCCAAAAGAAGGGATGATGAATCTTACCATGTTTTTGGCAAGACAATGTAAGAAAATTCAGAACTGGGTTCATTACTTTGTATCTGTCTTAGATGCTGATGTTTGTGTGAAATTCTTACAAAGAGTATGAGAGTAATTATGGTTTTAATGATTGACTACAGCCATTTTTCACAAGTGGAAAGGACAACCAGAGGTGGAGGCAACAGAAAACATGGGGCTTGGGGTGTCCTATGATTTCATCCTCATACCACTGATCTAAATGGCAATCTCTTTCATCAAGAGGTCATTAGGTCAACCAAGTGGTTAAGTTCCTAGTAGCTTAATTTGTGTCAAGGGGACTGCATGTTTGCACAACCCATCTGAGAATACCACCAGGTCCCACAGGCTTTCAGACAAATTTTGCACTTATTTAACTTGGTGTGGAGTAAGAGTAGATTCTTGTCATTAGTGCAATTAATTCAAATATATATCATTATAATCTTCAGCAGCATTCACCTATTCAGAAGCATGCTCTCTATTTTGTGCACATAACTTCCCTTGACATTAACAGGAGGGGATAATAGACATGGAAATGTAAAGAGAGGTTAATACTCTTCCCTGTGACCTTCCCAGAGACATCATATTTTCTCAAGCTGACCTCTCATTATGCTGAAAACTGCAAAGAAAAAACTCCACTGTTTCTGTTGCTTTTTTTGTTCACTTCAGAGACTACAGACATTTGCCCTAAGTACATTCTGTTAATAATTATTTTGATTGTATTCTAAAAATCCACATCATCCCCAAAGAGGGGAAAAACACAAAAGAAACCCCAGTTGGTGAGGGAGGAAAATGTGCAACATTATAAGCAGTGCCGGAGCTGCCTGCCGGGATTGCCACTCAGAGATAAAAATCATTCCTCACACTTTGAGACAAAAGTAAATGGCAGTTTGCAATGTTAAGGACCCCTGTGGAAAGAAGATGAAATGAGATGAGGCTTCCAGACCTGTGAGAAAAATCAATCTGATGGAAAATTGACAAACTTGTTTAACGTGTCGGCACAAGATCCGAGAGCTGACCCGTAGAGACCTCCACTTAGGCATACCGTGAAGTTACTGTCAGTTCTCTTAATCTGTTCAATTACACAACAGGATCTCAAAGGGGACTTTTTACCAAACATCACTTTAAATTAACTTTTCTCCTTCGTGTTTTAAACTTGCAGTCCTTCCCCACCTCTTTGCAGCAACATGGGTAAATTATTAAAAGCCCACTTGCTTGTCAGTGTAAATGCTACAGAAAGATCAATTTAAAATTTCGATTCGAAATACAGAAGGTTTGTGAGGTTAAAAAAGAAAAATGCTTATCTTGTTACATGTCACCAAAGTAATCTCCATGATAATGTCTCTGAGGCAAAGGTCTATTGTTTTTCTAGTTTAGGGGAATGAAGAAATGGTAGAAAAAGCAGCACACCATAATTTTTATTCTATTAGGAACATGAAACTGTGCCACTTTTCACAGCCACGGGTCACAAAGTGAAACAAAGAAGTATTCAAAATGGAAGATATACAACTGTATTCAACTGACCCTAAATGTAATTCTTTTTCCTTGGGGAAGTGGAGTGGGAAGAGGATAGGAAGGGAAGATGCTAAATAATGCAAAGGATGAAAGAAATTTAACTTTGAAGATAGGTAGAGCAAAATTTAAGAGGGAGAGATGGAACTGCAGATGGCCAAAGAAGAGAATTTTGGATTTTCTGTCTTCATTATTTTATTAAATGCACCACTAAAATAAAAGACTAATATTCCCCCAGATCTGTTATATTTGAAGTCTGAAGTGAAGGATTCTGAAACTGAGCAGAAAGAGCAGTAGAAATGTGGCCTATCAACTAAATTCAAGTGCCAAGACCTATTGAGATTGATGGGTGTTAACAGTCCAAATGCCCAGAAATACTATTTAATAGGTTCATTTTCCCTAAATACATTCTGTTAACTAGCCAACTCATAGAGAATGTCACAGTAGCCACAGTAGTCTGTCTCCTATTGATTTGGAGTAGGCGTGGATTATGTGATGCATCCTACTGCTGATGTGTTTTTGTTGATTTCATTGGAATGCGGATCTGTACCAGGTTCTTTGCTGGTTTTCCATTTCATAGTTTGATTTTTCTATTAAACAGATTGAAGGTGAGAGACCAACATTCATTTTGTGTAGTAAAGAATGAAGAATGAAACACCAAGATGAATGATAGTGCATTTTTGCTTTGGATTTCTGTTTTCATAAAACCAAAGTGTATGTGACCTGCTGCTTCTCTTGATTTTGCTCCTGTCAACACCACAGTTTATGAAGAATCACCAAGGCCATATTTATCTTGATAATCTGTGTGGACATCATTGAGCTCATGAGGAGCCCAGCTGAGAGCCTGAAAAAATTAACTGTTTGTTAATTATTCTTATTAGGGCTATTTTCTCATTTAAAAGGGATTAAAGCTTGTTTTCATAGAATCAAACAATATCTTGGGTTAGACCAGACTTTAAAGACCACTTGGTTCCAATCCCTCTGACACTAGCAGAGACCAAGTTGCTCAGAACTCCATCTTGACCTTGATACCCCCTTGATGGGGCATCCACAGCTGCTCTGGCCAACCTGTTCTAGTGCTTCACCACCCTCACAGTAAAGAATTTCTTCCTTGTATCTAATCTAAACCTACTCTCCTTCAGCTGGAAACTATTTCCCTTGACGTGTCACTACATGATCTTGTAGAAATTCTTCTCCATCTTTTTTGTGGGCTCGCTTCAGCTACTGGAAGGCCAGAGCTACCTCATCCTGAAGCTTTCTATTCTTCTGGTTGAGCCAGTGCAATTCTCTCAGCCTTTCCTCAAAGTAGAGGTGCTCCATCCCTCTCATCATCCTGGTGGCCTCCTCTGGACTTGCTCCAACAGGTCCATGTGTGTCCTTTGCTGGGGAGTGTGAGAGACCAAAATGTTTAACGTTAATGACTCAATCAGCTACTGGCAAAAGCAGCACGTGATTTGCTGGGGGCAGATTTGCACCCTCAAGCATAGCAGGGAGGTGAGCTTTTGGGTGTGTGGTGGCAAAATCTCTGATCTGCCCTAAGAACAGCCAAGGTGCAGAGGGGGTGATCGAGTGGAGGATGACCACCAGTGGAGGATGGCCACAACAAACCAACCTTTGTTTGGCAGCAAGCTGGATTTTGAGCCAGGTAACAGAGAAGGCTGATAAGAAGCAGATCATGTGAGGTGAGATAAACTTTTTACCATGCCCATGTCCTCCCTTGCACAACTGGATCATGTGTAAAACTCCCACCTCAGGTATCAGGACATTCACATGTAAGCCTGAAGATACTCGTCCCATCTGATGGGGCATAACTGGCTCAACTACACAGTTTCAGAATTTTTGAGAGAAATACACTTTGTTCAAAGACAACTAGAATATGCCGAGTACTGCATAGAGCACCTGCTAACAAGGGAAGTATGCCATCTTGGATTTGGCATTTCAGTAAATTTCCCACTAATCTGGGAGCCTGGGCAAAGTGACTTTGAACCTGCATGAGAAACATCACACTAGCCATTCCCGTTGGTGAGACAAATTGCACACGAACACTCCTCTCCACATAGCCCTTAGGCTTAGAGATGGGTGGAATGACCACCAGGTGAACTATCTCAGTTTGCTTTAAGCCTTAATTACACCTGGATTTAAAGAGTGAAAATAAACATTATCTGTCTTTCTCCTACAACCACCTACCCCTTAATTCAGAAAACATTTAAGAGTTTGTCTCAGCCTTTCCTGCAGGCTGAACAAGCCCATCCTAGAAATGTTTCTGATAAGAAAGTGCTGAGCCACAGGTTACCCTATCTTAACAACAGGTTTCCACAAAGAATTTGAAGGAAAAAAGGACATATTTTCCTAGTCAAGTAGGCCTTTTGGACCTAGGGAATCCAGAAGTCACCTGTGAGTTTTTCAGTTCACTCTAAGTTTTGCATATGAAAAAACAGAGATAATTTTTATTTTTACAAGAAGCAGTAGCTTCCACCATAATGATATTTTCCCTGTATGACATGTCAAAGATGAGTGTGCAGTATTATTAATTCTCTAAAACTACTTTGGAAACTATTAATATAAGGATATTAAGGAACTATCTGTGTCAACACTGCAATTAGAAAAACATATTTCCATCCAGAGTTCTTATACCACATAAAACTAAAGTTAATTAGTCATGGTGAGATCTGTAGATCAGTATGTTCATAAAACTGAGAAATGAATAGTCAGTAAAAGGCAAAACTACTGGAAGTGACTTAAATGACTGAAGTGAATAGAGATGACCAGCCAGATCCATAATATTTAAAAATCTGTAGAATTATAATACATTTTAGATGGAAAAAGATCTATGGATGTCATCTAATTAAACTCTGTCAGTCAAAGCAGGGCCAGTTTACTAAGGATCACATCCAGGTGAGTTCTATCTATTCAACAGTGGAGATTTCAGACTCTCTGTTAGTGCAGTCTAAGTACGGTTAGCAGCACAGACAAACAGAAAACATCACATCTTTATTGTTTTATTAAAATTTATTGCAAGATCAAAGGTGTCACAAAAAAATAGAAACTTACAAATTGTGTGAATAGTTTTAATGCACTCATAAAGAGACATTAAAAGAAAATTGACTAAGATTCTGTACTATATCTGCAATATAATTCACTGGCTTTATTCTTAAAATATTGTTGCCATTTAGGAGTAAATAAACAGCATAGCATTACACATGTTCACAAGTATTTACCACTTATTTTAAACAAAATCTTTATGATATATTTTTTTTTCCAGAGAAATTAGTTCATCCCCATTTTGAAAAGTCTAATAAGAAAACATTCAACATCCTCACTGGAAGTAACGTGAGTTGATGTTTCTGTTGTAAAAAATTATGCTATGGAAATCAACAAATAGGTTTACAGGGTTATACAGCCATACTAAACAATCTTCTGTGTTATGCTGCATTAGGCCTTCTGGATTAGCAAAACATTTTGACAATAATGGCAACTTTTCAGCTGAAGCTTAAGCATTTCATAGTTTGGATTAAAATGCTGTAACCTTTTAAAAACAAATATCCAGTGTTACATACCTGACAATATTCTTAACCAAATGGTAATACTCTAAAGGTTAAGGCAACTCCAAATTGAAGCTGCAATGTCTGTATTTTTCACAATTCCCTGCTCAAATTTAACTCCTTAGAATGCAATGTGTGAGAGAGAGTGAGAGAAAGGCTGTGTGATACATGGTTGCTGTTTGGGATTAAACCATAGTAGTCCCACAGAGAAAATTAATAATTTTATGTGCTTAATTTGGACATTTCCTTGCACACACTGTATTAAGATCCTACAAAAGATATCTGATCCTACAAAAGATACCTACAATGAGACTCATGTTTAGATGGCCTTCTCAAGGTAAGCACTTTTTGCATTGGAAGATCCATTCTAAAATAAAACCACACAGGAAATGAGAGGGATCCTGTTATTGACTTATACCCATTCATCAGAATTTTCCAATTCATCAACAGAACAGCATAGTCAGAGGAGACAAGTTCATTTACAACAGACATAAATTTTTTTTAGCCAAATATAATACGCATCACCAACTTATTTCTGATAGTTGGTGTATTCAGCTATCCTTTTTCTTTATGAAATACAGCTGGTTATTATTGTTACGGTAAGCAGTGTTATTCATTATTAAAATGTTATTATTATTAAAATGTCAAGGTGGGAAAGATTTTAATATCACTACAGCTTCCTATATTTAAAGAAAAAAACCTGAAGATGTTGATAAGAAAGTTCACGGTAGATTTTCTTATTACTCTGTATCTTAAAACCACTGGCATAGCTTTAGTAAATAAAAAGCATCAAGTTTAGTTCCCAGTTTCAACATGTGCCTCTGTTGATCAACTGCACTGATGCTAGCACTGAGTTACCATTTACAGATCAAAGAAAACACACATGACCAAGGCAAAGTAAACAGAGGAAAACAAGCTTAACATCTATAACTCAAACTATCCAGAGAACTAGTAGGAATCCACTTCAAGAAATTTGCCAAAGGCAAATTTTATGCAAACAAAACCACAATGCATTTCTAAAGTTTTGCTTCAATATTTGTACTTAGTTGTACAGTACATTAAAGTCAGTGTACAGCTTTTGCCATTTTACTGTAACCTCTGTAAACTCACAACTATATTGCATCATATGAAAGGTTATAAACCCTTCTGCAATCCCCATTAGATCTACCAAATGCAGCAGAGTGGAACAGGTTGGTACAGAAAGTTAGGAGCCAGAAGACATATTGGGTGTCCAGCCCATTTGATAAGCCCGCTCCAGTGTTCTCTTGCAATCCTGCAGCACAGTACTGAAGGTTATATGTGGATATTGCTGCACCAGCTGCTCCACTGTGGCCTCATTCACCTGCAACAAAAGAACAGAACCTGTGATGTGCAGAAAGTGAATGAAAAGGGTAACATTAGGCAAGCTAGAAGAACGAGAAAGCTTTGGACTCCTGGGCAGAGTTGCAGCATGGGGATCTTCATTGTTACTATAGGTTTGGGTGCATTTATCACAAAATAAATATACAGAATGTAATGTCCGCGTAGAGAATGAAAAAACCAAAATCAAACCCCATGCTTTGATTTCATTTCAAAGGAAGAAGTTTTATTATCCTGGTTAAAAAAAATACTGCACAGAGTGATAGATTTCTAACTTGAAATAGAAGCTATTTACTCAAAGTTGCTCAAGCAGACATACATTTAAAAATGTGAGATTTTTCTGGCTTTGGCAAATGAAAATAGATTACATCTATTAATTAATTTATTGTACAGTTATGGAGACATTTAAAAATGCTAAGTAGTAACTCCACAATTAACTTTACTGAAATGAACTTGGACTGTATGGTTGCTATCAACAGGTCTGCAATGAAAAGTAATAGATAACATGACTAAAGATGGGGGAAAAATACTAACTATTCTATGTTGCGGGTAGATCAATTACTCCTTTATGTCTCTTTTTCCAAAAGGTAAAAATCCTGCATGACTTCACATATATCACTGGCAGAAGATTTTATTTTAGCCTTCTTTTCTGAGGGTAACACTGCAGAATTGGGATCAATAATTAAAACATCCAATATCGTTGGGTCTGGGATGTCCCTCTTAAATCTGAGACATTAAAGTTAGCACCTTTATTCTTCATAAGACAAAGTAATCCGACAGACCCAGCTAAACCTAACACCCTTACAACTCCAGTGCTGCAAGGGGATTAATTTGTTCAATTATTTTAAAGATGATTGCAGTTCATATCACAGAGGTAAATGGCTTTCTTCAGCCTTTAGACAAATAAAAGATTAACCTTAAGAACCATGACTTCTCGTTGGCTCCCTCTGAAATCTTTGCTGAATAGTTGGGCATTTTAAAATGCATTGATACTACAGTTACTGAATCACCTACATAAGTAGCATGTACAACTTATGGCATTGTTTGCTTTTCTTCCCTCAGTGTTCCACTTTCAAGGCCAAAAGTAAAAAGGCAGACTGAAACGTTTACTACCATTACAAAGATCTGTCTTGTGAAAAATATTTTAAAGCACGGTAACCACAGTATCTAATAATATTTTTGTCCTTAAAAGATAACAAGGAGAGCTTCCTTCTGAACAGTGATTGCACCCAATGACAAGGATAAATGAAAGGTTTAATATCCAGTTCTTCTATTCTGATAATAGAAATACTCAATCTTCATTGGAAATTTCATCTAGCTGAGACTGACTTGGATAGAAAACTGGTTTACTTCACAGCACAAACTGTACTTCTCTGGCAAATTGCTATGTTACAGTAACATCTTTCAGTGCTGAAAAACAAGAAGTGACTTTGAAAAAGCAAAGTGAAATCAGAGATAGCACAAGTCCCCAAAATATTTGATATTTACAGCTGAATACATACTTGCAAATTGTAAGCTACAATTCACAGAAATATTGCTTGGAAGGAAAGAATCCCCAAAGTAGCAGTAATTTGCTACTTTATGCCTATCCAAAAAATAGTCAAAAGTCTCTTTTCATTAGAGCTATGCTGCAGAGACCCACGGCAGAATCTATCATGCTACCAGAAACTCCTCTTAATGTTTAACTCAGCCACAACAAAGAGGCTTACAACTGACAGTGGCTTATTTTGCTCCTTCTTAATGGGAAGCTTGAATGAGATGCGTTATTTATCTACTAGATAGTTGCAAATTTTACTAGTACATAGAAGTTATTATGATTTAGCACTTACCTGTTGGGCATTATTTGTTAAAACAGCATGGATATCATGGCTTTAGAGCCAGTGTTATATGCATATTCTCTGTTATAAGAAACAAATAAGGTGAATTCATTACAAAGATGATGTTCACACACAGGAAGGTAGTAAATGCTCTCCATGCCCTGATGTATTGGACTCAGGCCATGTACACAAGATACAGCCTAGCTAGGTTTAAGTTGATATATTTATTACCAGGTTAACTTAGGCATGGCCCAGGACATTTAGGAAGGCAGAGGATGTTACAATGGTATATTTTAGTCATAAAAACCTATGAAGAAAACCACCTCTAACTGTTTGTCCTAGTTTTTTTCTGACACAATTATTACTAAATAAATTTTTTTGCTATTTGCTATTAGTACTTTGCTAAACAGAAGCAGGAAGCTTTGGGCATCAAGTGCTAAATACAGTTACAAAATAAACAGGAGTATGAAGAAGGCAGATAAAACCATTGCAGAAGTGCCACTGAAAAAAACACCTGTTCTATGACTAAAGTCTGAAGAGTAGAAGCTTTCTCCATTTTTTACTAGAGGATTAAGCAAATATTTTAAATTATTAGTTTGATCCTAAGCAACAACTTGTGTTATAACTTGTTGTTAAACAGTAAAGCAATGACAAATCCTATGGATGTATTTGGAACCATAACATTTACAGAAAGAAATTACTTTGAGTCTGAAAAACTGAGTTTACTCTCATGATAAAAATATCTTCCCAAGCTTCATGATAAATGATCGAATATATGTAACTTTAAGTTAAATATAAATGTTTTTAATCCTGAGAGTAAAATGCAAGGAGTTAAAAATTATGCCAAACTAAATTCAAAGTAAGATTACACAACAGAAGAAGGAGAAAAAAAACTTGGCAGTGGAACAAGCAACCTGGATCCAGAGATGAGGAAAAAAGTATTCCCTATCTAAAGATTTTGATACCTTTTCTTTACCATGAGAAAAGTCTGGTCAGACACTAAAACAATGAAAAACTTTTAGTATTTAAAACTCTCCATACTACTGGACTAAAACTTCACTACCTGTAAAACAGGAAAAAAGGAAATAAAATTTTATTCTTTGTTAATGAATGTGAAAAGTAATATCTAAGTCAACTTCATTAGTATCCTTGTCATCTTTTCCCTAGTGGTAGGATTAAGATGAAAAGAAGTCTTATGCCCAGCCATTAGAACACAAGCTTCTGTCTCTTTGTTAAGATCAGCCTGGCTGGTGATAAAACAAAAGTTCTGAATGTCATTCCCAAAATAAGTTCATTACACAAACAGAACAATTTTCCCTTCTGAGCTTAAACATTCTTGTTCAATGAATGAAAAGTAAAAATCTCCACATCTTAATATATTGTAAAATGTTATATTTTTCTGGAGATAAACTGCTTAGATTATCTAATACATAATCATTCATCTGAACTTGAATAGCTCTTCAATTATGTTTTAACACATAATGAGAGAATGCAGCCTGTACCATTAAGAACAAAGTAATAGGTTTTGCAAATCCTGGTCATCAAACAAAAAAGCAAAATAACAACAAAGACTGGTTTGAAAATTATTTTTTCTTCCTGAAATAAGAATTTATCCCAGGCTAAGGAATAGATTGAAAAAACAAAACAAAGAAGAAGATGGGTTACAGAAAATGGAAGACTAAGTAGTATCATCTCCCTTTAACTCAATTAGTGCCTAGATTATGACCTAGAAGTCATAGTTTTGAATACTTTTTGCTTAAAGAGACTTGAACACATATGGCCTATTTCCCAGAAGAATGCACTTGACTTTGTGACAAATGTTATCTGGGGTAGGACCTCCTTAACTTCTTCTTTGTCTAATGACAGTGTGGTTGTACAGACAGTATTTAAATATTATCCGTGCTAGAGAACATTTCTAATGTGATAAATAGGAGTTAGTCTTGGAAAGAAGAACAAGAACACCCTTCTAGTCCCTGTGAAATGGTACACTGGCAAAAGGGACTTGTGTGTGCCTCTTTGGAGAACTTTCATCATCACTCTGCTATTACACACAAAATATGGCTGAAATACTGAGAAAAATGGGAAACCAATGCTCAACACTCTTACTCTCCTTTAGGTAAAATAGTCTGCCCATAACAGAAATCCTGAAAACTGCCACCACCTGCAAATATGTTTCCTAGAATAAAGTAACCAACACTTATGAGCTGATTTTTTTCAGGCTCAGAGTAAACTGCAAGCTACTCACAATAAAATATTCATTCATATTTTGATAGCATGTTATACTTACACATCTAGTCCTATTGCCAGTATTTACTGATTTGGAACACTGCTTGTCTGACACAGAACATCTTCAGAAATTTATGTTATGCCACCTTCCACAAGTTTTCATGAAAAATTCAAAATGCAACAAGAATAGTTATGAGGTAATTTTATTTTTTTTCTTTTAAATTTGCTGTGTCATTTGGTTTAGTGATAATTTCAGCATTGTTTTCTTTAATTTCTAGATTCTAAAATTAGGAATTTCTAAAGATATAAAATTATTCCAAAGGGCTAGAATTTTTTTAAGCTAGTTATGTTCATTATGTTCCTACAACAGATCTTATTAAATTCAAAGGATGAATTCAAGTTTTCTTAATCCTGTTAAGGTAAATTAAAGATTACATTTAAAACCATCAGCCAAACCATGCATTTATTTTTAATGAGACTGACATCTTCATTCACTGCTCAGGAACAGGAACAGAGGTGCTTTTCTTATTCAGGACTTTCCTGGTTACTTTTCCTTAGCTTGTCTTTACAACTGAAGACAAGCTAAGGAAAAGTAACCAGGAAAGTCCTGTTTATATAATGTCCTGGATATCTTCTCTGGGATTGGATACTCTTTCATTAAATTGCCAGGAATTTTAAGATTTTGTACTGATCTCCAAAACCCCTCCTATAGGTGCATCAGGATCAGACTCTACAGCTATTAAAATGTGCCAAGAATGTCTGTGTTATCTAGAGCGATACCGAAAAGCAAGAGTAGACTCATCACTTAAATTGCAAGTTTTATGCAGCTCTCCACAGTGTATGAGTATTCAGTGCTAATCTAAAGAGTTTGATCACTCTTTTTCAACAACAAAACCTAAAAATCTTCACATCTTAATGACTTCAGTTTAATGACCAACTC